AGGAATGACAGCGACTCAGCCACAAAGTGGTAGGCCAGGTAAACTGACAGTCAGCCGATGCTGAAGTGCAGAGAGCAAAGAGGTCACCAACTTTCTGCAGTCAATCACTACAGACCTTTAAACATCATGTTTGAGGATCTGTAGCTCATCTGTGGCCTTCAGATGAGCTCAAGAACAGTGCACAGAGAACATTTTTCAATGCTGGATTATTCGAGCATTGAAAAATGTGATGCTCTCCCTCTCTTTCTTAAACAAATTCAACCTGGCATCAAAAATAGCTAATGAGTAGGGTCCGGACTGCCAGGATGTAAAGTTGTGCAGAAAGGACATAAACGCATGCTTACACATTTTGACATTTATTCATCTCATAAATGTCATATATTTTACACTTTGTTTACTCGTAGTAAATATGACAAAAGTAATGTGAATTGACCCCGCTGTCATTCAATAGTTTTTAAGAGGTTTGCGTGAGGTTCTTCACTCAAAAGAAAAAAGGATTGTAATTCAGTGTGTCTGCTGATTTAAAATGGAACTGTTCTCTCCCTCTTCAGAGGTTTCACTTACTACAAAATGGGAAATCTGGACAACCGAATTGCCAATGCAGACCAGTTACTGACACAAGATGTGGAGAGGTTCTGCAACAGTGTAGTTGATCTATACTCCAACCTCAGCAAGGTATGTTCTTGTATCATACATATGCCAATTTTAGAAGAAATGATGCAGCATGTTGCCAGTAGTCTGTAGACTGCTGTAAATAAGAGAACACCAAACGCAGCTGTTCATATTGTAACTTCTAGACTATTGAGTGCAACTAAATAGAATTTGCACTCACTCACTTAAAAGAAACATATATATATATATATATATATATATATATATATATATATATATATATATATATATATATATATATATATATATATATATACACACACTGCAATTGTCTATAGGACACAAGAACACTGTGTTGTAATAAAATATTTACATGGAACTGCCTTTGCGCAGCATTTCCATAACTATTGTGAAATATGTACTGTTAACATACACAAAACTGTGCCGTAAGTGCTTCTTACTTAGAATCCCTGGATTGTAAGTAAAAAAGAAAAAAATACAGTTGCATACCAGAAAAAGTAATTTATTTCTATGTTCATCTTCCTCCTGTTTAATTCTGACATTTCTTCATGTCTAAATTGAATAGTCTCACACACACATCCTCCGTCACTTACATTTTTGCTCCCACTGTCACTCAATGTCTCGAGGCAGATTTGCTCTTGAGCTTGTGCTCTCCTTTTCATCATACAGCAGAGCATCCTTTAGAAAGCTGTTGGTAAGAACCCTTTTATTAGCTGCATCACAGTGTGCACATTCTACTAAGCATGTGAAAAAAAGTGGTTTCAAAAACTGCTTTACTTTCAGAAAATGAAAGTAAACAGTGCCTGTTCATATCCCTATCTGGCAGTATTAAGCTTTCTGTTGCCTGTCATTCCTTCTGACTGCCAGAGCAGGTAGTGTGAAAATAGGGTTCTATGATCAGCATTTTGTCCTATCAGATTGCATCATTCCAATAGACTCAATCTAAATATTTGCATTTACAGGGTTTATTTTTCTGCAATGAATCAAATTTTGTTTTCTGTGTTTGTCCTCCAGCCTCTGTTAGATATTTTTCTGTACATCTTCAAGCTGGCCAGTGCCATTGGAGCTCAGGTAGGCAGATTTACTAAGCCACTGGTTTTCCAGACCATTGTCTCCCATTTATCTGTTTCTGTGTTTTTATTTATTTATTTATTGAAATTCTCGTTGACCTTTTTTTTATGATATCTAGGGTTTATGAAGGCTGTTGCTTCTGTAACACTGATCTGCAGTTGAAGAAGTTTGATGTTGTTCACATATAATGTTGCATAGGATTTTTGAATGCAAGTTATTAATTGAGTAAATTTCTCTTTCGGATCAATAAAGTATTTTTGAATCTAAAGTTAACTGATTCAATCAGTCTGACAAATAATCAAATTTTATTTGTATAGCACATTTCAGGAGCAAGGCATTTCAAAGTGCTTCACATCATAACAAACACAAAGTCATGCAACATAGAATCAATCAAAATCAAAACATGACGTTAACTCAAGTGTCATGATTAAATTTGCAATTGATTACGTTTCAAAGCATCTCTCAACAAGTGGGGTTTTAGTCTATATTTAAAGGAAGTCAGTGTTTCAGCTGTTTTACAGTTTTCTGGAAGTTCGTTCCAGATTTGTGGTGCACTGAAGCTGAATATGTCTCAACCACATAGTAATGGTAGCTAATCTTATTTCTTGTTATAACCTGAGCTAGTGGGAGCATGTAGATATTGAATCAGAGAGGTCCTAGAATTGAACCTTGGGTACACCACATGTGACCTCTGACCTCTTTGATGAGAAGTTTCTACTTGAAACAAAGGAATCCCTGTTCTTTATGTAAGATCCAAACCAGTCGTAGGTTGTGCTTTGGCTCTGCTTCACCACAGCACCCCACACCATTGTTATTTCTATGCACCACTTGTATAGTTCATCTGGAAATTTTGTGAATGTACACAAGGCTGGGAGTAAAAAAGATCACTCTTTTACATACCATCTCTCGCTGCACTGATATTGTAGAATAATTCAGTTAACTAAATCAAGTTAAAATATACTTATGGGGATGTAATTAATTTGGTGCTATTTGGATAGGAAAAAATAATGTAGAGAAATTGTTGAAAAACAACTCAAAACCATTTGTTTCCTGTTCTGTGTCGGCTGTGCTACACACAGACTCACTGCCATAGCAACTGAAAATCACAGAGGATGTGTGTGCAACTTGACTTGCAGCAAGTTCTGACAATCTGTGTTGCCGAGACCAAATTTCCAACCATAGCACATCTTGATAGCTATGTCTACTGGTCGGTGCTATCCTTGGAAAATGGCTACCATCAGGTTTATATACAAAAGATAAGAGAGTCGAATTTAAATATAATAATTAAATCGTTCTTTAACTGATGTGTTCTAAGTGGCACTTAGCAGTGATAAGTAGCATTTGAGAAAAATATGTAAATGACAAAACCTTTCTGAAACAAAAGCATCTGAATCCCCATTTAAAAAACATTTAAAATAATTTTCATGTAAATGCAGGCATTCTCATAAAATCCTTCATGAGAATAGTGGACCTCGTTTTAATATGTAAAGTTAATAGATTTAGATGCTCTATAACTCTAAATACCCCCACATGTGTATTTCTTCACATGATAGCATGTGTATTTTATGCACATAATCATACCAAAATTCCATCAAAGTATCCTACCTGATAAATTTGTGGGTAGCATATTTTGCTACACCAGATTCCTTCATTTGAATATCGTTACGAAATAGCACATGTTGATGCACTAAAATGCCTTCATCAGATCATCTTAGTACCAGGTGAATTGGTAGAGAATCCTGATGCACCAACGCCTTTCATAAGTATATTCTACCCGTTTCATATTTACAGACTAAATAAATAGTTTATTTAGTCTATAATAGTTAGTTTTCTACTAAATTCAGTGATCAGAAAATCCTACCTCTATGTACAGGTGATGTGCTAAATTATTATATCAAAATAACTTATCTGTTACCTGCTACCCACAACAATATGTCTGGGTAGCGCATATTGGTGTATTAAGACACTGCATCAGAACATCCTACCTTTTTAAAAATATTTAAAATATAAAGGTAGCGCATAATGTTATTATACTGTAATATATTTGTAAGAATGAAATAAGTATAAAGAAAAAAGTATGTTGCAGGAAAACTACTCTATGTACCTTCCCCAAAAAGTTTCTCAAGTAAATGTAAACAGTACAACTCACTTTTGGAAAAAGATAACAATACTAGTATCCTGATTTTGTTAACAAGCTTAATGTGATATATTGTCATTGGCTAGACATCATTTATCTAAAATTTACTGCATTCAAAATCATAACTCAACTCTCTCGGTTAGCTTGGAGCGGAAAACTTTACAAAGTTATTTTTCTTTATCTGGTTTGTTTCCATGATTCTAACACACACAGTAGCATCATGTCTCCACCAGCATGTATCTGTTGCCGCACAGATGTAAAACTGGCAAGAGCATCTTAGTGCTCATTTTGCTTTTAAACGCGGTTGGGAAAAGCATGTCTTGACATGTTAACAGTGGAATTAACAGTTGTAAAGGCACGACTGATTATGTGGGTGGGCAATGCCCCCTAATGCCGCCTGGCCAGTCCAGTCCAGTTACTTAAATGAGGTATGGCAGCAAAGAGACACCTTAAACATGTAGGATAGAGGGGCTTGAGGACCAGGATTGGGGAGCACTGGCCTAAAGCTTTGACTTGCATTTCTTTAGGTTGCATGTCAATGCTCTAAGAGCCTAGTTAAAGCTGAATTTTTCTGTTGATATGTCTGAACTATTTTTGTTTGAATTTCTGTTCTTTTCAGGAGATTTGAATGTTTTCAGTTATATTGGTAAAATGACAGTGGAGGCATGTGAATATGTTTTAATGGTGCTGCTGTACAATCTGCCAGAAAATACCAGTGACTGTTCTTGAGAACTAGAGTTTGTTTAGTTCAAATAGTAATGTGTAAGATTTTTCATCTCTGAAATCTTTTCTTCTTTTATCAATAAATCAGATAAATTAATTTCCTCCTTCTGTAAATAGGGCCCAGCAATCATGATGGCTTACCTGCTGATCTCAGGCCTGTTCCTGACCAGACTGAGGAGGCCCATAGGAAAGATGACAGTGACTGAGCAGCGCTATGAGGGAGAGTACCGCTATGTGAACTCACGCCTTATCACTAACAGGTAAGCACAGCTACTGGGATCCAATCAATGTGTGAAAACTGCACAATAAATTTACAGGCAAATGACACTTTATCTTCGTTGATGTTTCCTATTTAGTGAGGAGATTGCCTTCTACAATGGAAACTTGAGAGAAAAGCAGACAATTCATGCAACATTCAAGAAACTTGTAAGTGATATCTTGACAATTCAATTCATTGTATTTACAGAGTTCCCACACAGGTCATCTCAAGGCAATTTACAAGACAAATTTATGCTCTTGAGTTATAATCTGATCAATCCAAAAACAGATTCAGTTACATACATTACTATTTAATCCTAGTAATAATGACATGCATTCAAATTCTGTTTCAAAACCCAAAAAGGGTTGGTCTTCTAAAAACATTTGAAGACCAAATCTTAGCATTGAGTTAGGAACGACTTCTTTATCATTTTAAAACTTTCAGCAGAGCCAGAACCCTGCTCAGTGTGAAGAGCCACCAGCCAGGATTGACTGGGAGTTTGAGAAATTAGAACAGACACACAAAAGCACAGCAGCACTGACCCTGGAGTACTTTCTATGTTAAAAGTTAATGGCAGTAGTAGTTGCTTCATCTAGGAGAGAGAGACAGTTAAGAAATTAAGATCTGAGTAATATTATTTAGATTCTGATTCCAGTTGCTATATATCATTATTATTCAGTCCATTGAAAATACTGTTTGTACTAAAGGAAAAAAAATATGGAACTATCTAATGTAATAATCAAATGGTTATAATGTTATATAAAAGCCACACTGGTATTGCAATGTTCCTTTGTATACACAGCAGATGTCTGTACATTTATATGTTCCATAACAAGAAATGACAAAATGGATTTATTTCAGCAATTCGAGTCAAAATTGCTGGAAGTGCAATTTTGTTATATAACAAATTTGTTATATAACGGGTATGACTTGTTATATATTATATACAAGTTATAATACATAACTTGTATATTATATTAATTCGTTACACACAGTCTGATATATTTCAAATGTTTATTTATTTTAATGTTGATAACTAATGAAAACCCCAAGTTCAGTATCTCAGAAAATTAGAATACTACTTAGGACCAATACAAAAAAAAAGGATTTTTAGAAATGTTGGCTAACTGAAAAGTATGAGCACATACAGCACTCAGTACTTAGTTGGGGCTCCATTTGCCCAGATTACTTCACTCTAAAATGCAAATTTTTTCTTGCTTAATTTAGGTTTGTATGTTTTACTTACGTCTCAGTTTAGTGAGAACGTTACCAGACTAAATAATTTTTACCAAACTGGATTTGAATACTTGTGGCACTGGAGTTAATCATGTGGAAGCAGAACATTTGTGGACTTGCACATTGGAAGAAGCAGATCTTCTCTAACGGTGAGTTATTTGTCTTCAGTATATTTTCATGTGTTATGTATGCCTTTACTACTCGTATATATGTAGACAGGTTGATTTTTCTTATAAAAGATAATGCATCCAACTCTTTGCAGGCTAATATGCTAATGTTAGCATGGGCTCATAATCCAACGTTAACTAAAACTGATATTCCTTTTTCTTGAGAGTCTTTAATGTTTTCATCCATGATAAAAGATCTGACTAATAATTACCTCCCTTTCAACTGCAGCCCTTCAGCATGTTTTTGAGCATAAACTGAGCCTTATGGCCTCTTATTTCTCTCAGCCATAAGGGGATGGAGGTCCGAAGTGGATTTCTCCAGTTCTTCAGTCAACCATTTAGGATCCAAAGAAGCATTAAATGCCGGTTGACTTGTTTATGCCGGGTGAGTTGTGAGTTGTGCTACTTTCAGTAATTAATCTACTGTAACAATACCATCGCTAACAAAAAACTAACCTATGTTATTTCTATGAGCTTTGATCTCCCAGTAAATAACTTATTTAGCTTCTGTAAACCCAAATTCATGCTGGAGTGGTATGTTAATGGTGAGTCATTGTAGGATTCAGGTCCAATGTAGGTCAACCATTCACTCAGATCTACAGAAACCCTTTGTTTGTGTCTGGTCATGAATATAGTGACCATGCAGTCACAGTTAGCTGTGACTGCATGGCTGGGTGGGTTAAATTCTATTTATTTAGCTTTTTTTCTTTTTTGAATAAACATATTTTCTGTCCTGGACTGGGCACTGAGCTAGCTGATATCATTTAGCACTGTGGGGACTACCAAGCTGGGGTGTAAAAATAATATATCCTACCTTACATATGAATGCTGGTCTTACTAACTGTCCAATAAATTATGTGAAAATACAATTAAAATTATATGATTGTTACCTGTTAGAAAGTTGTCACTCCAGACTCTGGCATTATTAGGTGTTTTCACGCCGCCTGTTTTTAGCTGTAGATTGGCGATCCACTTTTCTCTTTTTTTCGGTTAATTTTTCTAAATTAACCTTGTGACGAACTACCTTCAAAACATGAAAATAGCATCTCTACTAGAAAGAAGAGAGAACATCCGTACAGGACACAGATTTTAGGCTGCTTTTACTTCCTGCCCTCCATCTGCATTGGGTGATGTCAGTGCTACGTCATCTGAAACCCAGCAATATGTGCCCTCTGTCCACTGCACGACTGATTAAATCATTACAATGGTCTAATCAGTTGCTAATGTGTAGTAATTGGTTTTTCCGAGGCACCTTTGCTGTGCAGAGGTGGGCACTGGTGTTAGAATCATGGTACACAACCATTAAAAGGCAAAAACCTTTCCACAGTTTTTTTTTCCTAAACAAACTGAGTAAGTAGAGTAATGCTGTTGGGCACAAACAATGATAGTTACTTAATGACAACACGTCAGATTAAGCTAGTTTAGAATAGGCTGCTAATTTGTGTTGATGGTATTTGGGTGATTGAGGCTTGAGAAAAGATAACTAACTTCTAGTTGTTGAAATAATGAATGAGCAACAGTCTATGGCATCAATATAATAATCAGCTGATAGAAGTTTGGAAAATAGTTCTTGCTCCTTTAACTGTACAACCATCAACATTCTAATCACTCTTTGTCAGACAACAAATAAAGGTGAGCAATTAATTTATGCCTCTTATTGTGAACAATAAGATTATTCAGTTTCTTCAGAATAAGCTAGGGCTTACTTTTATTGTTCTCCCAACATCTATAACAATGTTGTTGCTGTGAGGTGTGCCACCCTACGATGTCTCTCAGTTTTCCTCGAGGAAAGAGTTCTACAGTGTCTCTTGTATGTATTGGTATTCTGTTTGTCATAGGTTGTACACTAGAAAATCAAAACTTTCACCTCATTCTTTTTTTGAATTTGTACTTTTCTTATTATCCGCAGGCTTCAGATTCCATGGCAGACTTTATCCAGGTTCCTGTGGTGTTATTGACTGCTATGTTATGCTAAGTATATTATTTTGTTTAAATAAAACATCAAATCTTGTGAACTTAAAATCTTTTTGTGGTTACTTAATTTATTTAAGGCAATCGGTTTTCTAGATTCTGCTACGTAAACTGCACTGTTCATGAAAGTTGGACAAACTTGATGTGGTTGAGTTAAGAAGGGGATAATTTACTTGCTATTTCTAAGTTGAACCAACTTCATTAAACTAAGTTAATTTAATGTGAAACAATTAAGTTCATACAAGAAACTCCTAAGTAACTGACTTTGTAAACAAAATGTAAGAATAGTAGTTAAACTTCTACTGAACAAAAATATAAAAGCCCCATGTCAAATAGCGTTGTGAAGTTAACAACTGTAAATGAGCATTTGCTAACATTTCATTGTACAAAAGTAATATTACTCTTGATTTGTGCATAATTTTTAAAACAACTTCCTGTCAGTGACCATTACTCAGTGGATGGGTGAGCTTGTCCAGTGGGTGATGAGACAAAATGAGCAACAACCAGACAATTCTTGTACTGGGGACAATAAAAGGCCATCCCAAAATGTGACATTTTGTTAAAAGTCATAAAGACTCAGATGCCTCAAGTTATGCAGGAACATCCCATAGGGAAGTTCGATGCAGGGACGTCCACCGGAGCAGTAACTGCATGGCTCAATGTCTTCTATGAGACCATAGGCTGTTTATATGAGGGACTGTTTAGGACAAAAATTATATTTTGTCTCACACACATGACTATAAACTCATAAATGATCACAAAATCTAAAATTTGCCCATATGTACTTCTAAAATGTTACACACACACATACACACAACTTTTTCTCTCATATGCACACACAAAGGACTAATATTGCGCATATAGGGCTCTAACGTCGCTTACTCCGGCTCTAATGCCTTACTCTGACATTGGAGCTGGGTTAAGTTGAGTTAGTACTTCTGCTCTAAAGCCGCTTAATAAGGCGCTAGAGGTGGAGTAAGTAGCATTGGTCTGCTCTTTCTGAATCTTCCAAACATTTTGAATGGGTATTGTTTCACAATCCTTTCCAGAATGTGGTTATTCCGATTGCTTGTTCATTTGTTTTTCTACCACATCTTTTCCTTCCCTTCACCTCTCCATAAATATGCTTGCACACAGGATCTCTGTGCTCAGCCAGCCTCTTTTGCACTGATGTTTGTCTCTTTCCCTATTGTGCGATTTGTCAAAAGTCATCTTTTGGACGACTGTCAGATTAGCAGTCATCCCCATGATTGTGTAGCCTACAGAACTGGACTGAGACAATTTGAAAGCATTTGGGCGGGGTTTTGAGTTAATTAGCTGATTTGAGTGTGTCACCAAAAGTCTTCAATACTGAACCTTTTCTGAGAAACTGAATTTTGAGTTTTTATTAGTTTTCAGTAATAATCATAAACACTTAAAGAAATAAATATTGGAAATATATCAATCTGTAATGATATGATGTAATGGATGAATATAATATACAAATTTTACATTTTGAATGGAATTACTGATTTAAATAAACGTTTTTATGATCCTTTCTTTTTTTACAAGCACCTGTATATCTGATGTGCAAAAACCAAAGGATGTGTAGAATATATTTTTTCTACAATTATTATTTTTTTAATTGTAGAAATAATTGCACTTCTTTCTAATCGCTAACAGTGCATCTGTAGCCGACTTGAACTCTGCGTTGTGTAATAAAAGGGACCAGCAGACGAGGACTCGGGATGTCTAGCAGGTTTATTGTTTTAAAACAAAAATAAATCAGTGCAGCAGTCTGGGCTCCGACTTTCCCACATACAGCACACACCTCTCCCCAGCGCAGTTCGGCGCGAACTCACACAGAATTCCATCAGAGGTTCACTAACATTGTTTAACATCTAAACAATCAAAACAAAAACAAACAAATCACCTGCCCAACAGTCGCCACTCCCACAGTTCAAATTGAATCAATAAAAAGATATATATGAAAACATATTAATTACATTACTCTAACATCCAGATAACACTTTGAAGAAACTCACATACCTGTTTTAAAACAAAAATAAATCAGTGCAGCAGTCTGGGCTCCGATTTTCCCATACAGCACACACCTTAAACGATCAAAAAAACAAAATTAACCAGGTTGCCTTGGTAAACTCAACAAATGTCGGAATGGTGGGAATCAGACACCCAATACAGTACTGCACCAACATAAAACAGTACAAAAACAATATATAAGATATATTAAATTAGCAAACATACTTTTCTTAGAATATCTGGAATGTTTTCATAAACAAACTGATGACGGCTCTGTGCACTCACCTCTCCCCAGCGCAGTTCGGCGCAGGATGTGACGCAAAAACAGGAAACAAGAAAATAAACAGGAAACAAGAAAATAAAAGCTTCTTTACCAAATAAAATTACAACTCAAAAATCCATGAAATATAAACAATTTTTGATACTTGCTACTTGCTACACCCTCCTATATTTCACCAAAATCCAAGTCATTAACACTGATAAAATTTTAGCATTGCCACCAAGTATAGCATTCAGCTTGAGAGCCACCCAAAAACAGGTTACGAAGGAAATATGGTTGATCAGGCCTATGCCCTTCTCAGATCAATGATGCCATTTACACCATACAATTCTGCGCCAGCTTTAACCCCATAATCACAATACCAGATGTATATTTGAGGAAAACCATATTCCACTACAGTTACAATGCTGAACTGTCCATAAACAGGACAAACACTCGTAATGGACTGGGACTTTTGGCTCACAGAGTTTGCCAAATCCCTAAAATCAAAAGGTCTTTGAACCATAGACTCAATGAGTCTGTTCACCCTTTTGCTGACCCGACCCACCCGAGTCCTAACAACTTGGTCAGCATTCTCTGGAAGATGACACATGTCCATGTTAGCATCTGAATTCACAGGAAGAGCATCTGTGTCTGTAGAATGAACTTGACTCACTGTGTGCAACTCTTCTCCTGTCACATGACTATCAGCATGTTCATCTGAGGTTCCATTACACTGTGAGGCATCACAAGACTCTGGTTGGGTGAGTCTGGTTCTGACACCTCTCGATCCAGAGCAACCTTGCCCTCACAGTTTGTCAATTACTCATCTCCCATTCATTATCTCCGACATCCAATCTCCTGCCTTCCAAAGCATCAAAGGAGTCCAACAGGCCCTGTGCATCCTCTGGGCTGTCAACAGCCATCTCATCCTGAGCTGTTCCCACAGGTAGAAAACTGATGTCCAATATCAGATTCCTGTGCACAATCTTTTTGTTACCTTGCTTGTCTTCCAACTTGTATGTGAGTTTGGAGATTTCTGTCAACAACTGTGTAAACTTTAGCATTCCACTTGTCGGATAGCTTTTTCTTCCCTCTTTCACCCTTGTTTGCTAGCAATACCCTAGCTCCTATATTCAAATGGGTACCTTTCACTTTTCTGTTGTACCCTTCTGCCTGTTTATCTTGTTCTTCCACAGCATGCTTGAGCGATCTTAGCTGCCTCATACAGATGTGACATGAGAGTTTTGGCATAAGTTTTATAATCAGTAGTCACTGGATCACATAACACTTGCTTGAAGATCACATCCACCGGGAGCCTTGGAACGCGACCAAACATGAGTTGGAATGGAGCAAATCCTGTAGTCTCATGAACAGTTGCATTATATGCAAAAGTCAGGGTTTGTATTTGTTCAGGCCATTTGTTCTTCTCTCTGAGTGGCAGTGATCTGAGCATGCTGCCAAGCGTGCGGTTGAACCTCTCGGTGCCCCCGTTCCCCATGGGGTGGTACGCAGTGGTGTGACTTCGATACTCCTGCCAGTCGAAGGAGTTCAGCAATGAGCTCACTTTCAAAGTTTGCTCCCTGATCAGAATGGATCCGTTCAGGAAATCCATACACACAAAATACATGGTCCCACAAACTTTTTAGCAACCTGCTTCGCTGTCTGATTGGTGCATGGAAATGCATGAGCTAGCTTTGTGAAGTGATCGGTCAGGACAAGCACATCCACTGAGTTTTGCTTTTTATCCTCTGCGCTCCAGAAGTCTAAACACACCAACTCCATTGGGCAAAGGTTCTTATGCTTTTAAGAGGGGCTCGAGCACAAGGTTCTGGTGTTTTGGCAAGAATGCACCTCTGGCAACACTTGACATACTCTTTCACATCAGCATCCATCTTCGGCCAAAAAAATCTTTGTCTCGCCAGGTGAAGTGTCCGTGCCTGTCCTTGATGTCCAGCCATGTCATGGACGCCTGCAAGGCTCTGTCCTTGGCTTTCAGGAAGAACAAACTGATGTCTCTTCTGTTTGCTGATGGGATCTCGAGTGACTCTATAGAGGATTCCATTCTGAATCTTGAGCCTCTCCCACTGTTTAATGATCACCATAGCTCCTATGCCAAACCCTGCTCTTTCACGTCTGGATGGACGCCTCTCTCGAATAATGAATGGCAAGGTCTTGGAAACATCAGGATCGAGCTTTTGGGCATGTTGTAATTCATTCAAAGTGAACATAGGGAGAGAATCTTGTCCTGGTGTGCCCAAATCTTGGACAGACTGGATGAGCGCTACTGCGCGGGTCTCACAACCAAATCCCACTGGTCATGCATCTCCAGAACAGCCTTGACTGCATCACACTGGTAAAGTTGCGAACTACAATGAAGTTCTGGACTGACACAAGATTTCCTTCACTTTTGGTTCTGGACCTTTAGGTGAAAAGCATCTTGGATCCCATCTTGGCTAATATCAGCTTCCATAAGGAGACGAGAATAGCCCTCAGTGATGATCCTATGGCTGACAGTTGTTGCAAATGGATCCCTACTGAGAGCGTCAGCCACTGTGTTCTTGGACCCAGGTATGTGTTTCAGATCAAAAGAGAAGGGTGCCAGCTTTGCAACCCAACGCTGCTCACAAGCATCAAGCTTTGGCTTTGTCATGATGTAAGTGAGCGGGTTGTTATCAGTCCATACAGTGAATGTTTGACCTCTTAACCAATGACTGAACTTCTCACATATACTCCATTTCAAAGCCAAAAACTCAAGCCTGTGAGCTGGGTATTTCTTTTGAGAATTACTCAACGTCTTGCTGGCAAATGCGATGGGGCGAGCCTTCTCTTCTCCAGCTGGTACTTGAGACAAGACAGCTCCAAGTC